GAAAAACCCGTTTTTTGTCAAGGAGTTTTAAGAGTCTTCGCATCCAGTTAGAAAATTAAAAAGTGCATATTCTAGATCAGAATTTTATGCTCTTTCGAATGGTATGGGTCTCGTTCAATGCGGCAGACATCACTGTAACGATGGTAGGATACCCACGGAACAGGCCATATGCAAAATAAAGTATAAGTGATTAGAGATATGTATTAGTGTTGAAAAATGTTTTCTTTGTTAAATACATTATTATTTAGTTATATACTTTGTTAATATTTTGTACAGATGTTATGGAATTTGATTAATAAAATTGAAAAGTTTATAACAGACAAAAACAATTTGACTAAATGTTCTTATATCGATGATGGTAGGCGATAAAAGGTGTAACGTCGTATATAATATGGAAAGAGAGGAACGAGAGCCAAAAAAATTTAATTTTCTCCCTTTTTCTCAGTGAAGGTGCACGCAACTGAAACTTCAAGTTGAACTTTTTTTCTAGTTAAGTCAAACATGGTTGAATAGAGCGCGATGAGCTGAGTAAGAAAACGTGGTTTTTAACTTTTGCAAAAATGCTTTACAGTCGAAAATTTGAAAGCACAAGTTTTTCTTAGAAATATTTTGTTTTGTGAGATATTCCCCAATCTTAAGGCTATGCTCATTACTGACGTGAAAAAATTCCCCAGCCTCCTTTTTTAACAATAAACATTTTCCAACTAAAAGTAGAGAAACAATATGGCCTTCTTTTTACAAAATAATCTCATTTAAGCCGATTCTAGCAGATGTAAGCTTCCAATGTTTTACTAATAATTCTATAATAAGTTGAATAAGTTCCCTGACTCTGGCTGATAAAAATTTCATACTTCAGCCAAAACTTCTTCTGTACGTCTTAAACCTTTCCGTATGTCGTCATACTGAACGAGAGCTCTTCTGAATTTTTCACCACACAATGAGAAATGTTCCTTTTATCTGTGTTGCTGAAACCTTTTTTCTATCTTGAACCGTCTTTCAAAATTAGATTTGACTCCAGGTCCAGTAGCGTTCTACGTGGCCACAAGTTTATGTTATACTGGTACGTTTGCAACCATACCATTAATTATCTCATGGATAACGAATAATATTGGAGGTCAAACAAAACGAATATTAACACTTAGTGTTGTTGTTGGATTTGGCAATACTAGTGGTATTATGTCACCATATGTAAGTGTATAATGAGAAAAAAATTTGGCTATTAATAAAATTGATCTCCTCTGGTTGTTCTAGACTTATTCAAAAAATTATTTTAATGGACTTGTAATTTGTTTGAGTTTTATGTGTTGTGCATTAATATCAACACTGATCTTGAAACTTAAACTAAGAAACGAAAACACCAGACGTGCTAATTTAACTCAAGAACAACGTTTGCAAGAATTAGAACGGGAAGAACTATATGACTGGGTAAGGCGAGAAGAGAAAAAAATGAGAGTGACATATAGAATATTCTTTATTCTCATTTTAGCATCCAGACTTTACATATACAACATGAAGTTCTTCTGAATAATTCTCCATAGAAAAATGCTAGTGACCTGTAGTATACGCTATTCAAAATAAGGAACTTATTAATTTTCTATAAGCAAAACGCTTTTCGAAATCGGTCGCTCGGAACGGTCTGTTTCCTAGTAGGTCTTTGAAAAACCAGACCATAAACAACAAGTAAAAACAAAGTAAAATAATAAAAAGAGTATGCTGTATGAAATAGTATAGGCTTACATAACCATAATAAAATGCAGCGACAGTCCAGTTGTATTGAGTCACACTTAAATTAAGACTTTTTGCAATATCCAACACTTTAGCATTTCCTAAAAGTGTATACGAAAAGATATTTTCCTTTTCCAATTTTAACACCATATGTACAAACCAATATTGATTCGATTATGAAATCAAAATAATTCCAATACCACCAAAAGTGGAATTAATTTTAAATCTAATTTTTGTATTAATTTAGCAAGAGTTTTATTTTCTTTATCTCTAACTTGCTTTTCTTCATCTTCATTTACTTTCTCGGAAAGTTTATTATCGATAGTTGAACTTGCAGTTGTTAGTGTGGTTACCATTTGAAATATGACATAATGTATATACACATACACATCTAATCAGCTGTACATCATGTTCGAAAAACAACGTGGATAGGAACAAGAAAGAATATACCAGGACATATACTATTATCGGCGTGAAAATTCAATGCACTCGGTTGTTTTTCGAGTAATTCCAAAAGGATAAAAAAAATAGGGACTTGCAGGTTTCCATAATCGAAAGCAGACAGTTTAACCTATGTTTTCATAAGCAAAACCCTTTTCTAGAACCATTCAGAAGATCGGTTCTAGATCTTTGGGAAGCACTTCGAATCTTCGGAAACTGGATTAGCAACCTAACAGTTTTTTTCTACAGATAAATAGTCCAAAGTATCCTCTCCAAAATGCGAACTAAGCGAACTCTTAAGTTTCCCCAATTCAGGCGTGGCATTGGATTTTCTGAGAGTTCCAGGATCAATATTTCTTTAGGTGTGGTGATTCCGAAAATAATAGGAAAATAGGTAATCAACCACGTTGAATTACGCGGGAATATTTTTTTTTCAGAAAATGTCCAAAAATCTAGTGAAAACCTGTATTAGATAGAATAACCCATGTTTGCCTATTTTCGAGTATAATTAAAGAATTCATAATCCGGTCAAGATCCATAGAAATTAAGTCGAAAGTTTAAGGTGTACTCTATTTTACCTGCTCAATACGATTTTTTACTTGAGAATAGTAAGAAACGGAAGATTTCTAAAAAACCTTTCCAAAAACCAGAGTATTTTCTGTTAATTTTTATAACCTTTATTGAACTGCATAGTATTGAGCAGGTAAAATAGAGTACATCTTGATATTCTGACATGATTTCGATGGATCTTGATTGGATTATCAATTTTTTAATTATAACCTACGATGCAAAAGTAATTGCGGAAATCTCCAGCCATGGTTCTCCGCCCAGGGACATTGTACAAAGTGCATTCTTTTCTGATTGAAAGAGCAAAGCCTGAACTTCAAAAAACATAGAAAACAAGATTTTTGTGATTGGCTTTGAGGAAGAAAAAAGTACGATACTAAATGTTGCTAAAACAGCTCTTGCAACTTCTGTCCTCTTCAAACGTATCTCTCGCATCAAACCTGTTTTTCCCTATACAGAATACGTTTGAAATTATATAATCATAAAACTAGAAGTGCTTTTATCACTCTTTCAAATAGGGTATGATAAATTAAGCTTTGATTCACTTTTCGACCGGAACTTTACAAAATTTTTCATTAGTTTCAGAAAACACGTAATTAGACTTAATTAATAATTTTCAGATACTCGACAAATTTCTTCCTTTTTCTAAAGTAGATTTTCTGGAACAGCATGCGATTCTCTGCAAATTCACATTACTTTAACCTTTACTAACATGTTTAGAGCCTGAATAACGAGTTTTTCTCGATGTCACATCTTTCCCATGCAAAGTAGTGCTTTCCATCAAAATTAAGACTTATAATGCGCTTTATTTACCGTTAAAGAATTACTGAGAAACTTTCTAAAGTAGGGAGGTCAATAGAATTTTACACGGGCTACTTTCTTGTCTATTTGGCTTTCAAGAAAACGTTTTCTTCAGACTCTAGTAAAAAAATAAAGAAAAAAAGTATGTTGCAAGAGTTTTCTTAGCGATATTTAGTATCGTACTTTTTTCTTCGTCAAAGCCAATCACAAAAATCTTGTTTTCTATTTTTTTTGAAGTTCTGGCTTTGCTCTTTCAATCAAAAAAAGAATGAACTTTCTGCGATGTTTCTGAGCAGAGAACCATGGCTGGAGATTTTCGTAGTTACTTTTGCATCGTAGGTTACTCGAAAATAGGCAAAAATGGGTAATATAATCGAACTTTGAAAGCTTATTTTGAACTGTATCGGATAGACGGCACCGCAAACTATCTATCTATGTGCAAATCAGAGCTTAAATAGTTGTGACAGAAATAATATATACAACAAGCTCAAGTTCTTTTGATTTTCTCTGCCGGGGAACTAGTTCAAGGAAAAGTCTATGTTGATTAAAATAGCCCACACTATGAGCTGTAATTTAGTAACTAAGCTATCATTTTAGAATTAATCTGAGACGAAGTAATTTACATTTTACTACAATACTCGGTAGGAAATCTCAGTTTTTAAAATTCCGTGACGGACTCACAAAATTACAAGTACGTTTGGCAAAACGAAACGAATACTGTGGAGCGGTGTCAGCCACCTGGTTGACCAGCATATTGCATTATCATAGATCTGTATCACGTCCATCAATTTATTCGGCAGATAATCTTCGTGCGTTATATCGACAATGGTCAGTAACTCCAGATTCTACTGCAATACGTAATGTTTTCGCTTCACGATTTTACGTAAATTCTAGTGAACAAACTACTCACCTTCTTTACAACCAGACGACTGGTTTCAACTGATGCATTACCATCGTCACCACAACTGGATGCTACATTCAAACTTAATTGGAACGATTTACCAGTATTAGTTGTTAGTTGTAGTGATGCTGATAGAAATGTTCAACCCTACGGTGTTACACTTACTGCAAGATGGATAAATAGGAGCCATCGAAGAAAATACTGCGACACCCTTGAGTATCTAACTGTTTTCATACGAATGGTCTTTTAGAAACTCTGTTAAATATGTTTCTCTTTCTTTCAGTGTTCCTTCGTTGTCAAAACTAGATCTTTATGTAGAAACTTATTCTCTTTTTCTTCTTCTATTCAGATGAAAACGTTCTTTTTCAGATCTACATAGATTTTCTCGAAGTATACTACTAATTGAGATTTATAGGTTTCACAGGAGAAGAAAAAGAAATGCATTATTTCAATGTCCAGAAGGTGTTTCATAACAAAGCAGAAAGAAGAATTGTTTGTCACTAAAAGCAGGATGTGGTGTCCTCCTGATCTGGTTTTAACCCGATAACATATATATAAAAGACAATGTTTCCTCTTTTGAAAAAGCAGTGATCTGTTGGGCTAGAATGCTTGATGGTTAAGACATAAAAACATGATGTAGTTGCATATGAACGTATGTCAGCATTTGAATGCATGTTATGGCGTGAATATTGTAGCAATGTATTTCCTAAACATGCCGAAATATCGCCAGATGTTAACGATCCAATTACTGTACAGATAGTTTGATATACGCATTTTTCATTTTTACCCTTTATATTTTAAATTTTCTTAGATGGAGTAGTGCTCGAAATAGCATTTGTCATGTTTTTCTGATGTAAAGAATTTTAAAATCGCTTTGAAGAATTCTGTGAAGGGTAAGTTTTATATTATGTATCATCAAAGACATTATTATTAGAGGATTAGACAAACTATTTCACACATTCATACCTAACTCTTGCTGTTTGAAAAGATTATTATTCCATCCGTACTTAACGGTGACGTTTTTTGCTTGCAGTGGTGAGACGACTTCTGTTGGATATATTGATAAAGCGTCAGTATTTTGTTTTATGGCTCGCGAATGTCCTAACCAACAAAATTTTCAAAACATTTTCTTTTAACGTATGGTTTTGTAGAGAATTTAATTCTTTACAAAATGGCATATTTATTTTTGAGTTTTCTCGATAAATAAGGTTTGTACATGCATGTACAGTTTCCGCCTTACTGTACAGTTTTTGAGCTTCCATTGTGCAGTAGAGAGACTTTTCTGTGTAGATCGAACAGAAACACTGAAACAAACGATGCCTATGAAAATCAAATTTTTCTAAGCCTGTTTTGTGGTCGAACTTTCACTGCAAAAAAGTGCAACGCCGTCACGTTCGGTTTTTGCATTTGCAAAGCCAAAAAAAGCGTTACGAGAAAATTGTTTTTACTAAAAGATAGCCCAGTGCTTACTCTACAAACCTGACACTTGGCGTTTTTCTTCTAAAGCTTGGAATTATGAGAAAAAACAGAAAAAATCAAGCAGTAGCATTTTAGGGTCCTTTTTTGTATCACGCACCCGTAAAACGTCTCCAGAAACCTGAGTTTCTGACACAGGACTTTCATTTTTGTACTGAAAGTAGAGTATTATGAGCTGCGTTGAATGCCGTTTGAGCGAAGTTTCTGGCTTCCTTGACTTTTGAGATAATTGCATTTTATTGCGTCAAAAACGTAACGGCGTCATGCTTGAACCAGCTCCGCGATGATTATTTGTATTTGATGAGATAATCAGGATAGGCCTGTGAATCGTGATAAACGACAAAAATTGTTTGTTTTTCATTTGTTGTCGTGTCACAACCGGGCGGTGCAACTTTTTGACCGTTAGTACCAACAGCGGTTCTTCCCACTAGTATACGAGCCAAGAACATAGTTCTTTCATTATTCGAATTAACTTTTGCATAATCGTGTGAATATTTCGCATTTTCGGAAAAGTAGACGCCACATCCATATACAACCCCTAAAAAGAGAATCCGAGCAGTTTCCTTAAATTGCTCCAGCAGAAACTGTAATAGAACACGGTA